GGAAACTTAAAGAAACTGCCTTCACTCGTGTACTTGCACTTCAAGCCGATCCGCCCAATCAATTTGTGGCATATCCCTCGGGGCGTTGCCCGATTCGCATTCTCCACTGTGTGAATATATTATGGCCGGTAGGTGGCTAGAGCCGCCTCAAGTGAGGAAACCTCTGCAACCGGCTAACTGTGATGAATTTCAAGTAACACCCAAAATAACACGTCCAAAGTCTGCAGACGCATCACCCAAATACATAAAGCCTGTTTCTAAGACGGCCTGGAGTTATGTTAACTAATAAAAAGGGACTGTTGATTCCTCCTCGCCCGCCTGCGTTCACATTGTGTTGCCGCTACTACGGTCGATGCAACTCCCAAACGTGATAATCGCGGCTGAGGCCGCAGGCTCTAGCCACCATCAGACACTCATCTTCTGCACTTACTATATAGAATTTATTGTTTAGATGCGTTTTAGTCCTTTCTTTCTGCTTGTCAAGGCAGTTCGTTGGCGTCAATGCAGTGCATGTGACTGGAGCAGGTATGCTACCCTGAAGTGTGGCAGCCTGTGTGCAACGATTACATGGAAATAATTCTTACGTCAAGTTATCCCCCATTCATTCGTTTCAACAGAGCATTCCTAACAACTTTCCATCGCCTTACCAACCAGAACGATCTCGGATCCTCTCCTTTTATCCCTGATCTTCTCTGTTTCCTGAGAGAAAGCGTTTCGCATTTTCTTAGAAATTTTGCGCACCAGCCCAGTGGAGGGCGACTATATGCTTTGCATCCCTTCATCCCTTTTTTGTATTAGGTAATGGGGAGTCAGCGGCGTGGCCCAGGTACTTGGTTGCGGAAGGTGTTGAACCCGCAGGAAATGGAAGGCGCAGCAGCACAACTAAACCCAGAGGACGCAAACAACAATGCGGAAGTCGCTAAGGAAGGAAGAGCTTTTCATTCGTGGAGGCCCCGTGGGAAATTGCATCCAGCAAATAAGGTGATGATGGTTGCTGTCGCAGTGATGTTGGCAACAGGGGCTCGTTACATTATGTCAAGAAAGGCACAATCCTACCTAAAGAGGTCAGAGCTACCTCTGGACGATGTGAGCGTGGAGAAGTACATGAACGATTTGGACGAAGCGGTAGGGAAAATGGAAGATGCTTGGGAGAGCGCAGAATCTCGTGTGCAGCAAGCTTTTAAAATACACTTCACACCGTCGCTTGAGGATGGCCAAGAGCTCCTGGAAGATCCGCTGGCGACCATCATAGATCATGTGGACAAGATGCAGGAATGCGAAATTTCATCTGTTTCTTCTATGGAGGCGCGGAGGGGCTTCGTCCAACACCTGCAGCTGTTACAGAGCATTTGCCGCACAGTGACGCTTCGCTTAGGTGAGCTGGAGAGCTACGTCAGTGCGAACAAGATATTTGACGTGCCTGTTCCTGTTCTTGACCACGGCGAGCCCTCTAGTGACCCTGCGCTTGAAGGACATCAAGGAATGGCAGAGTGTGACTGGACAGCTTCTGATTTCTTGGATTCTTTTGGGCTGTTTGGTGGTGATAGCCAACGAACAGTAGATAAGCATTTATGTAATAAACTCGCATGGGCATTGCAGACTGAGAAGACGTTTAACGACTCCAATTCGAGAGTCCGACATTATTTCATTCCTAGCCTTGAACCCTTTGGAGGAGACGGCGCTCTCAACCCTGCCCATGCCCCT